AGGCCGTGCAATCATTTCGCGAGGTACAGACAGAAGGAAGCAATATTGATGATGCCCTGATGATTGGAAGTGTCCTCCTTGCTTGTACTGAGTTGAGGTGCAACTTACTTGCAAAAGAAATTCACTGTTACGTGATTAAAAGAGGGCTATATGATCCTGTTATACAAAAAACTCTTGTGAGTGTTTATGGAGATTGTGGGAATGTGGACTATGCAAATAGTATTTTTAGGTTGAGTGAAGTTAAAGATGTCGTGTCCTTTACAAGCATAATGTGTAGTTATGTTCGTAATGGACTTGCCAATGAGGCTCTTGAGCTCGGGCTCTATATGAATGAATTGGAAATTGAGGCAGATTCCATTGCAGTCCTAAGCATGCTCACTGCTGCTGCTGATTTGGCTTCCTTAAGGAAAGGAACAGAGATTCATGGATTTTTAGTTAGAAAAGGCCTCCTTATGCATGATTCCATTAGAAGCTCTCTAATAGATATGTATGCCTGCTGTGGGACTCTGGAGAACTCATATAAGGTGTTTAATCATTTAAAGAACAAAGATCCGGTTTGTTGGACAAGCATGATAAATGCTTGTGGATTACATGGATGTGGTAGGGAAGCCATTGATATATTCACGATGATGGAGAAGGAAAATATTCAGCCAGATCACATAACGTTCTTGGCTGTTCTTCGTGCGTGTAGCCATGCAGCACTAGTAGAAGATGGCAAAAGGATGTTCAAAATAATGCAAAGCAAGTATGCTTTGGAGCCTTGGCCAGAACACTATGCGTGTTTAGTTGATTTGCTTGGCCGTGCAAATTACTTAGAAGAGGCCTTTCAAATTGTTAAAACAATGAACTTGGAGGATATACCAGCTGTCTGGTGTGCTCTCCTTGGTGCTTGTCGGGTATACTCCAATAAAAAGTTAGGAGAAATTGCAGCAAAGAAGCTTCTTGAACTTGAACCGAAGAATCCAGGAAATTACATTCTTGTATCTAATGTGTATGCTGCAATAGATAGATGGGACGATGTGGAAGACGTCAGAGTAACAATGAAAGGAAAAGGGCTGAAGAAAGATCCAGCATGTAGTTGGATAGAGGTAGGAGATAAGGTTCATGCCTTTGTTGCCCAAGACAAGTCGCACCCGGAGTGTGATAGGATTTATGAAAAATTAGCCCATCTAACCGAGAAATTGGAGAAAGAAGCAGGTTATGTGGCTCAAACCAAGTGTGTTTTGCAAAATGTGGAGGAGAAAGAAAAGGTCAAGTTGCTTAAAGGACACAGTGAAAGACTAGCTATTGCATATGGTTTACTTGCTAGTACTGATCGAAACCCCATCCGAATCACAAAAAATCTTCGCGTCTGTAGTGATTGCCATGCTTTCAGCAAGCTAGCTTCAAAGTTCCTAGAGCGAGGAATTATAGTTAGAGACGCCAAAAGATTTCACCATTTCAGGGATGGGGTATGTTCCTGTGGAGATTTCTGGTGAAAATTCGTTCTAGTAATTGGTTAATGGATTAAGAAGATCTTTCTGATGATAACTAACCTTACTGCTTTGCTAAAACCTACTTATCAGTCCTGCACAGTATATTTTCAATAAGAAAGGGAGCTAGTGGACATATACACTTTCAGTTGTGAGCCAATGGATTAGTTTGATGGCTTAGACATGAGAATTTGAAGGTGGTTCAAGTCTAATGTGACACATATTGAAATTCATTTTGTGTTAATGCAAGTTTTAGAGTACAAGTTCCTAATCTTGTTATGTTAGGTTTGATGGATTATTATAAGCAGCGGAAGCAATTCCAACATTAAAATCACATGTAATCTAGACAACTAGTATATCGGAGTTTTTTGGGTTATCTCTTGAAGCGTGAAAATAACTTTTTCAGTCACGCGAACCTTCAGTTCCACAACGTCTCAATGGAATCTCCATCACCCGCACAATCACAATCATGATCTCAGAACGTTCCACGGTCTTCTACCGTGTTACTCAAACAATATCTAGAAATAGTAATTTTATGTGGGCGAAATTTCTAGGAAAACTTGGCTGAAATTTTTGGCCACCTTCTTCTTCTTCCTTTAGGTGGAAACCTTATGTATTTATACCACATGTTTTAAGGGCTAAAACCCTTTTCCAAAACATTTCTTTTCCACCAGGAAAAAGATTCCTTTATTTCCCATTATTTAATATTTAGGCACAACAAAGACCACAAAATTTAATTAACAAGGCTACCAATTATGGAATTAATTTCTAATTTTCAAAATTAATATCCACCATAATAAATTACAAATTATTCCATTAAAAAAATCGTAATAGCACTACTTTCAATTTCGAAATTTATCCATTGAATCTTATTTAACTCCCCATATTAAGATTAAGATACTAATCAATTAAATTAATTACTGACAATTTAATTATTGATTATTTTCTTTAGATTTTCGCTTAACTTATTTTATGTGTCGGATAAAAAATTTGCCGGCCTAGACATGAAAACTTATAAGCTTTCATAAAGGTGTATCATCAATCTCTAAACCGAGACATGAATTTCATCAACTAACTAGTATTTCGTCAATGTACATTATCATTATTATTATTATTATCTAATTTACCAGGCATATTGACCAACAAAAGAATCTCGCCTTTTAATAAATCAAAACAATAATAATATACACAACTAATAACAATTACATCAAGATTAAGAGTATAAGTATATTTAATGGCTAGAGAATTTATTTTATTAAGTCGGTATAAAATACTCATCTTTACTTGGTCCGTTCAATACATACAAAAAGTACTAGCACATGAAGTTGAAATTAAACCATTCTCATAATCAAGATAAATTATATTTAATCTTGTGGTACAATAATTCCTGACGGTTTGTCCAATTCCATCATTAGATTGTGAACTCAAACATTATACTTATAAGAACGGATGATATAATCGTCTGTGTATAAGCTAAACTCTATACACTAAATCATCTACTATATAAGCAAAGAACACAGTCTAATATATGATCCATTTCAAATTTTATTAAAATTGAATAAACAATTGTTCCATAATAAATACTATATCCAAACCAAAATCATGGTTAATCGTGTATATNATATATATATATATATTCAAACAAGGTCAAACTTCCCTTAGAAAATTGTTCTTGGTGTGGCTATTGCCAACTTATCTGTTTCTTGTAAGCACCAAATCTAGCTTCCTCCTTATAGCTAAGTAGTTTTAAATGGGGGAAAAAGGAGGCACGAATAAACATTTTTTTTCTTCCTTCGATACCATTCTAATTCCGTTTTCGAGTCAAATATTGTGTTCTAGAATATGTGTTACTATATTTCCCTCGCGGTGGATGTAGTGCATGGGAGGATATGTATGGCTCCGATTAAAAATCTGCAATCATTCAACAATTGTGAGGATGGTGCATTTGATAATGGTGATGAAGTTAAGACTCATCAATACCAAGAAATTTGTTTCCACAATTAATGGTACTTAATTTTCTTACAACATGTTTGGCTAAGATTCTAAAATCAGCTTATTTTGAAAATTGCATTTCTCAAAAGTATTTTAGATGAGATGCAGTTTGTGTTTGACTAATTAATCTAAAAAAATATTTCTAACCAGCAATTAGTATTTGGTCAAGTTTTTAAAAAGTGCTTTTGTGTGTATTTTTCTCAAAAGTACTTTTAAAAAAAGTGTTTATGGAGAAACACTATTTTTTTCTGCTTCTCCAAAACTACTTCTATTTTTATTCAAAAACACTTTTTTTCTTTCTAAAAGCTTGACCAAATACTTTAATTTTGGAAAAAAAAAGTATTTTTCGCCTTCAAGAAGCTTGGCCAAACATATTATTAGTGAAACCCAATTCTAGATCCTTAGACCACCAAAGGATGTGGTGCAGTGGATAGGGCTGCTCTTCCCTTAACTAGAAGTCTCGAGTTCGAGCCTGGGTATGGAATGATCTTTGGTGGGGACTGCTTCTCCCCGAATAGGGCCCTACGCGGAGCAAATACGGATATAATCGGGCTCTAATACGGGTATCGGACACAGGGTGAAAAACCAAAAAAATTCTAGTTCCTTAGGTTATTATTTCTGCATGAGGTGTTGGGTTTGGCGTAATGTGATATCCTTCTTTTCAATTTTCTTGCGTTCATGATTCATGAAAACGTTATTTGTAGCTACAATTTTCGGATGAAACACTACGAGTACTTGGGTGGAACTTTTATTGGAAGGCTTGACTTAAATGGTGTGGAATGGAGCACCACCCCAATAGACGGGTTTGTCAGATTTTCTTTTTATTAATGGTGAAGGCGCGCTGCACAAGCGAGCTTCTTCTTGTAATATTAACGCCCCCAACTTGACGCACCGTTAAGTGTAATTTGAGAAGAAGACCGTGCTGAATAATTGCACCTTCAGTGTAAATTTTAAAATCAACTGAGGATGTGTGTAAATATGTAATTTTTTACCTTCCCCGAGATTTTACACTTTTTAGCGTTTAAATATTTATTTAGTTCTAATATCGTTATTTTAACTAGTTTTGACTCTTTTACTTTATTTTATCAAAAAAATTAAAAATTACAAAAAATATTTTCTCTTATTTAACTAATTGATATTTTATTTAGTTATTTTTAGTTTATCTACCTTTCATAACGTTAAAATATATACAAAAATAGTTTCACTTGTAGTATTTAGTTTTATTTTAGTAGTTTATTTTAATTAAGAGGGATTTCATATTTTATAAATACATTATACTTGTTAGAATAAGATATGAGATTTTAGCTAAAAGAGTTTGAACAACCCCAAAACTAGTTTCATTTTTGAATTTTCTTAAGCAATTTTGGACCAACCCAATTACCCTGAGCCCAAATAGCTTGATCCATCAGCTCTTTTACAAATAAAGATGAAATCTCAGCCGTTAAAACTCTTTCAATCCAAATGCTGAAATTCATTTTCTCTCCCATATAAAATACACATTACACTCCCTAACCTAATTTGTTAAAGCTGCAGAACCCCAAAAAGAGATGCCCCCCCAACCCTGGACTTTTTTTTCTTCATGATTAGAACACAAAAGATCCATCTTCTTCGGCACTCCAAGAACAGAAGCAATGGCGACCCCTGATTTCTTCAACGCCACCAACAATTCCAACACCCATCCCTTTTTATCTTCCATGCCCTTCTTCTTAAGACCACACTTTAAGAAGCTAAAAAAAATAAAGAATAGAGGAACGGACAGACGCAAAAATAGAGAGGAGGACAATGGATTCTCCAAGAAAGTTCACACAACATTTGGTAATGTTGTTTTAATCCACACTTTAAGAAGCTAAAAAAAATAAAGAATAGAGGAACGGACAGACGCAAAAATAGAGAGGAGGACAATGGATTCTCCAAGAAAGTTCACACAACATTTGGTAATGTTGTTTTAATCCACACTTTAAGAAGCTAAAAAAAATAAAGAATAGAGGAACGGACAGACGCAAAAACAGAGAGGAGGACAATGGATTCTCCAAGAAAGTTCACACAACATTTGGTAATGTAGATAGATTAAAACAGGGGAGAAACAGACACTTGAAAATAAGCACCACAAACAGCCCGAAGCAGCTCCAAATCGTCAGTCACTGTCATAAAGTCTGTTGGTTTCATTATTTGGTTTAATTCGATTTTCCGGCGAGGTTGTCCGCTCGATGTCCTATTCGGCAAGTCAAGTCTGACTAAGGTCCGTTTTATTTTTTTGTTAAGGTTGAATCTTCAATTTTGCTTCATTTTGTGATAGCTCCTGTCAAGCTTGAACTAAGACGTGATTTGGTGTATCTTTCGATTTCTTCTCTGTTTTTGACATATTGCCATTTTTATGAGTTGGGATACTCATCATGTTTGTTAGAAAAATGTATTAAATATTCATGGTTTGATTTCTTCTTTTGTTTGTTAAATGAAATTAGATGTAGTTAAAACAATTACAGAAGTTCGATATTAGTTTGTAGGTATGGAAATGGCCCAATAAATTTCACAAATATGGACCTTCATATAACAATAAATTTTAGAAAAATATTTAAACTATTGAACCCCGTAGCTTGTTTTAGGCGTTATTAATATATCATCGTGACTATGAGTATGGTTCTCATGGCGTAGTCATGATCCATAATCCCCAATTCGGGTGTGCATTTCATGTGACCCTACCACAACTTCGAATAATATAAAATTAAACATGTTGTAAATCGCGGGTGCACTTCATGTGACACGGTTTGCAATGTGTACAAAAATAACAAGTGTACGACAATCGTGTCTTGTTCCATAAATAAATCAATAATAAATAAAAGCAGTTATAAAGGTAAAAATGCACAATAGGTTTAAAATATGTAATTAATCAGATAATTAGGTCAATTATTAATAGTTGAGCGGCCGTCCTAAAACCACGAAACCTGGAAATGCCTAACACCTTCTCCCAGGTTAACAGAATTTCTTACCCGATCTTCTTTGTTCGCGGACAAAAAATAGAGTCAATTTCCTCGATTTGGGATTTAAAATAAACCTGTGACTTGGGACACCATAAATTATCCCAAGTGGCGACTCTGAAATTAAATAAACAATCTCATTTCGATTAATATCACTTTAATTGGAAAAACTCCCTTATATCCCTCTCGAAAAAAAAGAGGTGTGATAGCTCTAGCGACTCTGCTGGGGAAAAGAACCCAGAACTTCTGGTTCAGGGTTCAGAATTCGAGCTTAGAATAACTGTTATACTTGGATTTTACTTATTATCTGATATTTTACGTGTTTGAGCCTAATATGCTAAATGCCGTTTTTTACCGCTTTGATATTGATTGAATTGTATACAAACTGTTACGAAACCCTCTTCTCTCTGAGTCTTCTAAATCTTCTGGGAAGTGTGCACTTCGCGTGGCTTCTTTTTGTTAGAGTCATATCCCAATTTTAGATCGAGGTTCATACAAGTTGCAAAGTTGGTGAAGCTTCTGTATTCCCGGTACGCTGCCCCCGCCTCCCCCCTCTCGCCCCGGCTCGAGCTGTCTGCTCGGGTAAGCTAGGTCTAGAACAATACATCCAGGTATTTAAACCTAGAATAACATAGCCTCATGCCGGATCCCTAGTAGGAACGCTTGTTTGCATCACGTGCATTTGACTTTGGGGACGCAACATAGGGGTTGGGTCCGTCTAGGATAGATGTACCCAAATTAAAAAGACCATCCTGATGCATCTTACGTGCTACTTGTTTATCAGTTTGTTTCAGCTTGCATGTTGACCGGCTTCTAGAATCGGGAAAGAAAATAAAAAAAACAGTGAGATATAGGTATTTGAAATTCCGAAACTCTGCCGAAACTCTGAAAAAAGAGAGAAAAAGAAAGGTCATTTCAAAATGAGCCCAAAATTTTCAAGTGCCATGTTTCCCTTGTTCCGTCAAAGCTTATCGAACTGCGCAGGTCTGATTCTCACCGGATATGAGATACGAAGGCAAACATCATCGGTTCCGGCCCCAATTTTAAAAAATCCAAAAATATTTTCCTTTAGTTCCTTCTTTAGAAATCTTTTCTTAGAAAATTCAAAAAAAGAAGAAGTTTTTCTTTAACTCAAAAAAGTAGTTTCCTTCTTGCTGAAGCCTTTCATAAGGAAAAAAGAAATAAAAAGAAAAAAATCAAAAATTCAAAATCCAAAATATGGGTTTCCTTTATTTTGAAGTATTATTCCCAAAAATTAAAAAAAAATTAAGAAAAAAAAGAATCCAAAAAAAATATTCTCTTCCTTCTTTAAAAGTCTTTCTTTCGTAAATGTCATAAAAAATTAAAAAAATAATGTCCAAAGATATTTTTATTTTTCTTTAAAAGTACTTTTTTAATAATAAAAAAACTAAGAAATCCAAAATATTTTCTTAAAAGCCCCTCTTTCGAAAATTAAGAGGCAACATCCAAAATTCTGAAATATTTTCTTTCTTGTTTAGAAAAAGAGAAAATAAATGAAAATTCAAGAAAAAAAATCTTTTTACTTTTGAAATTGGCAAAGTTCAAATCAAAAGAAAAGAAATTTTTAGAAGTCTTTCTTTAAAAATTTTTAAAAAAATAAATTAGAATCATAAATCTAAAAAAATATTTTCTTTCTTTTTTTAAAGCATTTTTTTCCGAAAATTCCAAAAGAAAAAAAATCAAAAAATCAAAAATATTTTTCATTTATCTTAAAGCTTTCATGGTTTGAGTTTTATAAAAAGTTAAAAAAAAAAGAGTTAGCTTATTTACTCCATTCCTAATTTTTCTGAACTATGCAAGATCTGATTCATGCGGCGTCATGATACGTAGGCAATCCCCATCGGATTCGATCAAGCCATGAAATTAATTGAGTGAAAATAAACTGGAAAAAAAAGAAAGAAAAATTGAGTGAAAAAAAGAAGAAGAAAAGAAAAGAGTGAAAAAAAGAAAAAAAAGAGTGACAAAAATAAAAGAGTGACAAAAACAAAAAAGAAAAGAAAAGAGAGTGCCAAAAAATAAAAGAGCGACAGAAACGAAATGAAAAAAATCAAGAGTGATTAAAGAGAGGCGGAAATAAAAGAAAAGAGGTACATACTGAAAGGGTTAGTTAAGGCCGAGATAAAACATGCAACCGTTTAAACACATGGTAGAAGCGTTTAACTGTTAGGTGCATTGCATCCCAACGTGTTTTTACTGTTAGGTGCATTGCATCCCAACGTGCAATTTCCTATATGTTAAATGTCTCAAAACTAACAAGGTTGTGGTGTGAGCAAATTAATCAGGTTCTGTTCAGGTGGTTGGCTTTGTTGGTTGCGGTAATGAACGTGCAATCTTGCACGCGGCCACAATATTATACAAAAAACTGAGCTCCACCTCCCAGAAATGCCCATCCTTACCAAGCTCCATATAATCCCCAATCAAATGTTCCCCAGTACAATCCTCGCCCAAGAGAGCCTTTCAAAAGGAATCAGTTCGCCCCTATTGGTGAATCACGCTCGGGCTTGTTCCGAAAGCTAGTCAGGCGAGGTCTGCTGTAGCGAGTGACCCCAAACCGGCAAACTTTGAGTCCCTCTCGCAGCGAGCTGATGCCAGATGTGAATACCACTCTGGAGCAGTGGGACACAATACAGAGGACTGTTGGACCCTCAAAATGGCAATTGAAGATTTGATCGAAGCTAAAAGAATCGTTCTTCGGGACAAAGAGGCTCCTGATGTGACGAACAATCCATTTCCTGCTTACAATGAGGAATTCGATCCGGCACTGAAGGCCATTGCAGCCATCGCCGAGACAGAGGAAAAGCCAAAAACGATCGGCAAGCCTGAAAGTTCCCTATCAGATGGGAATCTTGGTAGCCAGTCTTGCTATCCTTTCTGCATCCGGATTATCTCAGAGTGTGATTCAGATGTTTTACTTTATTGTCTTACTTTTTGATGTTAACCCCTTTTGAAATTCAAAAAAAATCAATAAAAAAAATCAAAAATCAAATGAAATTAATATTTCATTGTCCAGAAATGTCTCTTTTATTAATTTCACTTTTTTATTCTCTTTTTAGTTCTGTTAAATGCAGATTTCAATAACATGATATGCTTGCGGACTCCATGCACAGATCCTAAAACGTTGCCAGACTTCGAAATAATGAGTCAAAAATCAGAATGCAATGAAGATAAGTTCAAGGAAATAAACCAAAGACTCGGAATAGCTAAAGAAAAATTGGTTCTAGATTTGAAAGGTCCATACATTGCAACAAGAATACTATCAAAAGAGTGTGTTGTACTTGGGAAACATCGAAGGAAATGTCGCAGAAATAACTCTCAGCGCAAATGCAGTCAAAAGGTACTATGTTGGATCCTCTATATAGCATGAATGTTCTCCAGTTGGGATGAAGAAAGCTTTCTTTCTCACTGTCCAAATATTCAACCTCTTGCAAACCCTTTAAGCCGGCTCCCATTCTTTGATTACCCTCTTTGGAATTTGAAAGTTATTATTGAGAAAAACGAAATGAATGAAAAAAATAAAAAAAAAAAGAAGATAAAGAAAGATGCAAAAAAAGGAAGAAAAGACAAAGAAATTGAAATGAAAAAAAAGAGGAAAAATAAAGAGAAAACAAAACAAAACAGAAAAACAAAAGAAAATCAAAGACAAAGTTTCCTGAACTACGTTCAACTTGATTCCAAAAGGATATGTGTGCAACCTCTCTCTGGGGTTCATTCACACCAAAATAAAAATTCAAATTCCCCCAAAGTTGAAACTGGGGTAGAAGTTACAATGGTTCGGCGATGGGTTTGCCTGAAAGGTTCCAAGGTTGTAATTCAATCCAAATGATTTTTACCCCAAAACCCTGTTCTAGTCCTTCTGATCAATCGACAAAGAGGTTCAAAATGGGAGGATACAATTACTTGGATCTGACAGAATAAGTTGAGAGAAATACAATGAGAGAATCTTATCGGTGAAAAGCCTCACGGGCACCGTAAGGCAATGGTAAGCAGAGAAATGAAAAATGAGAGAGTCTTGTTAGTGAAAACTCACAAAGAGCACTATAAGGCGATGGTGAGAAGAGAAATGAGAGAGGTTAGCTGGTAAAAACCCGCAAAGGGCTCCCCGGATCGAAAGAGGATCCTCACAACTATCGGCATCAACAGAGTCCTGGTAAGGTTTCTCGATTTTGAGGCAAAGGTTTGATGCATTTTTGAGAGTCGACTGATTTACATGCATCAGGCATCCAGTCCAAAAGGCATGTCATGT